ACAGTTAAAGAACACAGGATTAGACGCCTCCAGAAAAGCTGCAGGGGAGTTAATTGTATGCCCAGTCCCACACCTACCCATTGCCACTTGAACATATTGTAGGTAGGGGTCTCAATTGTCTATTTTCTGATTGGTAGACTTTTTTATTTCTTACTTTATAGAAACCCTAGCTAAGAGTAAATATGTATCCCCCAAAGAAAAATTACTAACTTCTTAAACTTTGACAGATGCTCGCTATGTTTTCAATTTCCAAATAAAGTCAAGCTTCCAGGCTGTAACAGCTGTTCAGCCCCTGGTCTCATCACTCATACGTACATGTTCAATTCTGTTACTTTTACAGCGGAACTGAACACCATTGCTCCCATCATCTCCAACTTTTTCCTGGCCTCATATGCACTTATTAATTTCTCCTGCTTCCATGCCTCTTATGCCAAATCTCCAGGTAAGCTGACTTCCAAAACTAAAATATGCCTAAGCAAACAGTTAGTTTGTCTCAATAAAATGAAATAAGTCAGTGAAAAGTGTTCAATCTGTGTTTATATGTTTCCTTATATCCTAGTAGGAAGCATAATCTACTTTATTTTGGTGAGTTTGGGGATGAGTTTTGAAATAGAAAAAGAATCATTTGAGCAATGGCCTTTTTGACCAACCGTAAAGTCAATTTTCTCCCGTGGCAATAAATTATTCATTGCAAGAGAAACTACATTTATTTCAGCAGTAGAAAAACACCACTATTTATTTCCAGGGTGAAAGTGACCACAGAAGTGGAATTAATGTATATATTTGAAACTTCCTTACTATCAATTTGTTTCCTGCCCATGGTGCAGAAGAGAAGGATGAGTAGTTCCCATAATTACCTGCTGAGTGGAGGCAATGTAGACAAGCTGCATTGATGCTGGTGGCATCAGTGCACCCTTTGGGCTGTGGTTTAAAGTTGTTCAAAATTTCACACCAAAGAGCCTTCCCCTTTCTAGTCACTCCTCACCTCTTCTTTGCTTTCATTGTCCACTACAGTTTCTTCTGCCTTTCTACCAGAATAGAGACTTGTCATTACCTACCTTCACAAAGATCTCCACCTTGAGAACTTTTACCGGATATATAAACACATTTCCACTCATTCAGGGCCTGACAAGATATTAAGCCTCCTTTGGAAAACTTGCTGCCAATAAGACAAAATATAGATGGAAGACCAACCTTAATCTAACGAATACTAGGCTACAGAAAGTAACAGAGGACTTTCTGTTTCTTTGTGTGTTTTGTTAACACAGAAGTGTGTGACTCCATGCCATGTTATGGCCACTTTTGACAAATAAGGTGAAATAGTAGACAGCCAGGGAAAAGAGTGCAAAGGAGAATGGGAAAGAGGGGGAGAGAGAGAGGAAAATATAGAAAAGCATATAGAGGGAGACACATGGATATGCAAACCCAGAAAATGTCTGTCTCTCTCTCTCTCTCACACACACACACACACACACACACACACACACACACGGACAGGAAGCCAGACTCAGAGAAAAATAAGGCTATTTTCAATGATGTTCTTGAAGTGCTATGTCCATCTTGTGGCCATTTAGGAAATTGCTCCCAAACACGTAAAGTTCTGTTGTGTTTTGGCAACTCCTATATTAAAACGTACCCCATTCATTAACAAAAGGTGCCCTTCAAATCAGACCTTTCCCTCCTGTCCATACTGTCTTCCAGTTGCTTCCATTTCAGGAAACTAAGAGAACACAGAAAACCCCCACCCATGTGCACACTGTGAGAAATATTTTCATTGCAAAATGTATGACATATTAACACATTGGGTTTCAAAAGCCTTTGCTAACCATTGAGTTTAAAAAGCCATTTCTCCTGCTTTATTCATCAATTATTATTTCTGAAAAGGCAAGCACTGTCCTCTTAGGGTAATGGAAGAGCTACCAGGAAGTCAAGCAGATTGACTCTTGATGATTACTCCGCCTTCTCCGTGGGAGCAAAAAACCCATTTTCTTCACTTTTTCTTTCTCGGACAACCAAGAAGTTTCTCCTCCCCACCTGGTAGATCCCACTCTTTCCATTCCTCCTACCTCTTTTCAGTTCCTGATGGCATAAATACCAGATGCTTAAGGTTTGGAAGTTTGGGAAGACGGTCAGGAGCATGAAGTATGGAGGGTAGATCTGGTAGATCCCACTCTTTCCATTCCTCCTGCCTCTTTTCAGCTCCTGATGGCATAAATACCAGATGCTTAAGGTTTGGAAGTTTGGGAAGACGGTCAGGAGCATGGAGTATGGAGGGTCTTGAATGGCACATTTTTCAGATGCTTAACATTTCCTAAACTTTACAGCATTCTGTTTGGTGTAAGTACCATCTTCATAGACCAGGGACCCAAGATCATAGGAAAATAAGGACAGAGCCTGGAAACTGACCTAAAAGTTCTGATTCTTTATGTCAGGAAAAAGGCACGTTACCTGCATTCTTATAATAGTCGGTGGCGTGATCGTAGTAGAGTAGAAGTTTTCCTTCTGCATATTTTATTTTCAGGATGGAGACCTGCGTATGGAATTTACAACATGTGGGTATCTCTTTTTGGAGCTGTTTTGTGCTGTGCAGTCATGTTTGTCATCAACTGGTGGGCAGCTGTCATCACCTATGTCATTGAATTCTTCCTCTATGTCTATGTGACTTATAAGAAGCCAGGTAAGATAATAAGGACTGTATGGAATAGGGTTTCCAAATCACTCTCTAACTGCTCATTTATTAAGCATTTTTATGTGCTTAGGTGAGGCATATGTAAGGAGGATATTAATAATATCATGGAATATAATAGTAACAATAGTTGG